AGCCTTGGCAGAGGGATTTCCTCCTACATCTGCAACTCAACAGCCCTGCCCTGGGCCGCGGTTTCTGCTCTGCCTTTCTGCTCTCCGGTGGGAGACTGGGATGAGTTGTGATGAGGAGGCTGAGGGGTGTGAGGCTGAAGAATGAGGGGGGATAAAGCCTGGTAGCTGCACCCAAGCCCTCAATTTCAGTTCCCTCCACCAAGCAGAGCTCGATGGGGTCCTGCTGCTCCCCACAGCGATGTGGAGAGGACGCACTCACCGATATGCCAGCCGTAGATGGTGTGTACATCGAAGCGCCCGTTCTCCCGGCTCCCCATCACCCCCATCAGTGCCTCCTGCAGGCTGCTCTGCAGCAGGGGGACCCTCTCGCCCGCCATCCCCCGCCAGCTCCGCGGCACGCAGCATCTCCGTCGGCAGGAATGGCCCCCGGTACTTGGGGGTTTCCAGCTTGGCAGCAGCATTGATGTGGATGAGCTTCAGCGCTAAATTCTGGGCTTTGAGGGTCTGATTGCCTGATGGGAGGAGAGAAGCCGAGCTGGAGACAGAGCCCAAAGCCCACGGTGGGGTCTGGCTCTTCCCTGGTGGCCTCTGTAGCCGATCCGATTGGGAATTCTCTTTCCGATCCCCCCGCAATGGGTCCCTGCCTGCTGGCATGGAGATAGAGATCACCAACAGCCCAGCGCCGAGCTCCTGGCCTTGCTCCCGCTGACGGGTGCTCACAGAAAGCCACCAGGGGCTGGCCGAGCAGCGACAGAATTTGTCAGGGCTGCACCTCCCCAGCAGTCAGATTTTTGGTAGGAAATACATCCAAATTTTTTCCAAAGTCTCTTCTCGAGGTCTTGGGGGAAGCACATGGGCAGTGCCGGAGCAGAGCAGCGAGCTTCACCTTGGGGCACGCGATTCCCATGAAAAAGTGGAGGGTTTGGACCCTGCAGGCACCGCAACGGCCGCGTAACACATTCAGCTTCGGCCTGGGCAGGCAGAAAACCAGATAGAGGGCAGAACCCGGGGAGGAAGGCGGGAGAAGAGAGCACAGGGAAGGGGCAGGGAAGGCATGAGCAGGATGGTGAGGAGAAGGGGGGCTTGAGTGGGTCCCCTTTGCTGTCACCATCTTGTTCTTCTTCCCCATCGCACACAGGCACCAATCCACAGCTCCAGTGGGCTGCCAGAGCTGGACGCCGTGGCTCTCACCAGCCCAACTCTCCTGGTGCTGCTGCCCTGCGCTCCCCTCACGGTGGAGGGATCCATTAGAGCCTCTCCCAGCAAGATGATTCCCTCCTGGTTACCAGTTACCAACCCATTAACTCAAATTTAGACGGACGAGGCTCAGTGTCCCCGCTCCCTGCCCCAGGACTGAGCTTCTTGGTCCCCGTCCCGCAGGCAGAGACGCCCACCTCACCTCGGATCTGCGCGTGGAAGTCGGGCGCCAGCACTCGCTGCAGGTAGGGCGCCTTGGCCTGCTGCAGCACGCAGAGTGACCACACCAGATCCGTCAGCAGATGCGGCTCCAGGCTGTCCAGCTGGCCCTGGAGCTCCTCGTGGACCTGCAGAGAGAGAAACCAAACTGCTGACGCCTCGATCCTGCACTCAACGCACAGCTCTGGCAGCTTGACAGGTCTCTGAGGCGTTATGGCGCACTGTCTCCTCTACAGCAGTGCTGCTCCCCTGGGTTATTTGCAGAGGGGAGATTTTAAGATCGCTCTAATGTGACCCTGCAGCTCGTGAGCTGTGGTTTGCTGGCCCGGGATGCTGCGTCGCTGCGGGGGGAACTCATCACTAAGCCCAGCAGCAAACTGCAGCAGCCTGGGGTAACGCACCGCTGCAGCCAGCCCTGCCACGAGAGCAGCGTTCAGGAAAGGCTGGAGGTGATAAATTTCCTCTGATCTGCAACGAAAAGCTGCTGCAAACAGAGCTGGAAGGGTTTGAGACTGCAGTGCTGTCATGATGTCACAGCAAGAGCCCAGAGCTCTGCACCCTGCAGAGGTTTCACCTGTTAAACCTGGAGAACTTTTTAGCAATCCCTCAAAAAATGAGGCATTGCTACAAAATCTCTCCTCACAGCGACCACAACTAACGCTGGCAGGGGGAGGCCCGAGACAGCACCTTGTCCTTCTTACTGTCCCAGGGAGACCCTCCTGCTCACGTGGCCACGAGGGACAGGCTGCCCTGGGGTGGGACGCAGGGTCCCATGGTTTACAAACACCCACATCTGGGTCCCTCTTCCTCCTCCACTGCACACCGCAGGTCAGGCTTGGGCAGGGCTCAGTGAACGCCCGCTTACTCCGCGACAACGCCGCTCCTCTCTGGACATCGTCAGCGTCAATTTGTCCCCGGGGAGGTCAAGGGCAGAGCTTTGGGGCCCTTCCGTGGTGGCACTTGGGGTGTGAAGGTCACGTAGGCCAGCTGAATTCCTCCTCTGATTCAGAGGCCACCTCCACGAGCCAGGGATGGCAGGAGGACGTCAAGGACGGCGCCTGCCCCACGCTCACCTCATGCCAGCCCCTTGCTGAACCACACAGGAGGCTCCCCCTCTGCTTGGATGTTCTAACCGGTCACGTCTCCTCGCCCTGGGATGTGACAACCTTCCCCTTGGGCAGGAAGACGGCCTGTGGCAGCTTCTATCCTCCCCAGAGCAGAGGGAGCAGCCTCAGTGCCACCAGCCGGAGGGTTTGGCTCGGCTACGAGAGCCACACAGCTCTGTCTGGAATGGGTGTGCAACCATCAACACCTCTGGCCTCGTTATAAAGAGTTAATTACAGCAATCAGAGTTCAGGAGGGCATGGGAACACCCACGCTCTGCTCGTGCCTGCGAGAAAAGCGAGCCTGCAGGGATTAACTGGGTCAACTACTGCCCCGCACGCAGCCCAGGCGGGATTTTCAGCCTGGTCTGAGCTCTGGGCTCCCCCTTCCCGCTTCCCACACCATTCCCAGCGGGTTCCAGCCATCCAACACCCCAGTTTCACATGGGGATGGGGCTGGAAGGAGATCCGCAGCCTTCCCGCTGACTGGGGAGGGAGGAAGGGTGCCAAAGAGGGGGAAAGGAGGAAGGTTACCATGTTGAAGAAGTCCTCGCTTGTGCTGGGCTGGAAGTTCAGGCGAGCAAAAGAGAGGATGATACTACAGAGATTGGTGACCGACAGCTGCTTGGTGTTGTCCAGGGCATACTGGAAGATAGAAGGGGGCAAAACCAGAGGTTTAGGTCTCTCCTGAACAAAAAGATTGAAAACGTCAGCCAAAGATGGGAAGATTGCAAGATGGGAAAACAGGAGGGAAAGATCTCTTAGCACTTTCCTGGGATTTTATCCTGGCACAAGGGAAAGCAGAGCTCTGTAATGTTCCCACTCGCCCAGTACAGATGCAAAAATGCAGGGACATAAACTGGGGCAGAAAGTGCCTGGGGAGAGAAGCAGCACTGGCACTTGGGAGAAAAGACTCCGATGGAGCCGAGATCAGCCCCAGCTCAGCACGGATTCCCACTGCTGGCTTTGGTGGAAAATGAGCCACAAGTCCTGTCAGACTCAATTACAGCCGCTGGCTGGGTACGAAAAACAGCGAGGACATCCCAGAAACCATCTCTGGAGAAACGGAGGGGGGAAACTGCTCCCATGTTCCGAGAACTGGAGTGGATCCCAGTCATAGTGGTGCCAGCGGGGATTTCCCTGCTGTCCCAAGGCCCCTCCTCACCTGCGTGATGGCCTCAAAGAGCGGCAGGCTGAGCCACTTGAGGAGGGCGAAGGATTTGATGCAGCGCGTCACCTCAACGGGCGTCATGGTGGCAACGTGGGGGTGCAGGTCTGTCGCTATCTTCTGGAAGACCTGGGGCTGGTGGAAATTCAGTTTTCCTTAAAGGAGGAAAAGAAAGGGGCAGCTACTTACATGGAGCTGGGACGGGAGCTGTGCCGGGACGGGCGGTGGTGGCACAAAGCCGGTCCTTAGGAGCAGAGGAGGCTCCAAGACCGCTGTTGCCTCCCCCAGTTGCCTTGGCCCCATCCTTTCTGGTCAGACTGAGTCTCTGCCACACTGATCTTAGCCCCATGTCTCCACCTGTGAATCCTGCTGCGGCCAGAAGAGCCCTGAACTCGCTAAAGCCACCTGGAACCTCACATCGATCACAGCAAGAACCAGTAACCAGCAGCACCATGCCCTGGAGGAGCTCAGGACAGTGTGGATCAGCCAGGAGGGGACAGTCCCCACTGGAGGGGCACAGGCAGGGTCTCTGCAGCAGCAGTGACAGGTACAAACCATCCTGACGCACTGACACGGTGGCTACAAGCAGAAAATTGAAATGTCGGCGCAGTGGTGCCAACGTCCCCGCCAAGAGCACAACAACCGGGGTTATTTCTTTATTTTGAAGGTACAGCTAACCTACAAAGACCGTCCTGGCACCAGTGGCTGGCAGAAGAGCTGTTCCCACCCCCAGAAGCTGGACAATCAACTGGAGAAGATTTCCTCCTCGCCTCTCCCAGCTTCTTTATCCCTTTGTCTGGGCTTTCCACCAGTAAGAGGAGAACAGCACCACGCAAGGTTGCATGGAAAGAGGAACCAGAGAACCAAGACACCCAGGACTGCAAACCAGATCGTTAATTAGTGGCACCCCGCTGTTAATATGGCTGTCTGGCACCAGGTTCTGTCACCATCACCTATCTGGTGGCTCTGGTCCACCCAGTGGCCAGGAACATCACCAAGGTGGCTGTCACCGGCCCCGAGCGTTCTGCCAGCGCTGGTGTGAGTCCTTGTAGCACCTCAGCTGCTGAGGAGCACGAATTCAGCACCCTGCTCTTCCAAAACGATAATTAATTTGTCACTGGGACATCCTGGGTGGCAAAAAATCAGCTATTTTAGTGTCACCGTCCCCACATAAAAAGTCCAGCTCTCGCCTGGCTCCTGCTACAGAGGCCTGTGTCTTCCAAGGGAGGAACCAGAGACAAGGGCTCCCCAAGAAACCCATGGCCATGGGAGGAGGCGAGAGAGGATTTGGGGCCATTTGGGGGATCGCAGCTCAGTAGCGGCTTATGCTGCAGGGCAGAGGGGCTCCCTGGCACCCTGGCCATCTTTCTGAAGCACTCTCTCATCACCAGTTCCCTTCTTCCTGCAGACTGGAAGGAAAATGGTGTGCCTGGGCTCACTCCGCCTGCGCTCAGAGCTGGAAACGACCTGGCTGCGCTGAGCTGGTGTGCCAGATCCAGCCTAACGGACCCTGCCAGCCTTTCGCCTTCATCTGTCCTCAGTGCCGTGGCAGCAACGCTATCGAATCCCCGCTCGAGTGCCCAGAATAAGCTGGGCTCTCTCCCAGTACAGCCGAGCCACTTACCATAGGCAAAAATGAGATCCATCAGGATGTTGAGGCTGAGCTCAGAGTGCTTCTGGATGAGGTGGTAGGACAAGGCTCGGAGCAGAGGCACGCAACGCCGGTTCTGGTAGGCTAGAGCCAGCGTTATTTTCCGGATGTCATCGGGGTTGAACTGCTCAGCAAGCTCCAGAGCCTGCCGAGAAATGTTTTGAGCAGGGATGTAAAAGGAAAGCACGCAGCAAGGGGCAAATACAGGGTTTATTCGGAGTGGGAAGTCCCGTTGCTCCCAGCTGAGCCTCTCTGAGGGTGATGGGGACAGGAACTGGCGAGGGTTTAGCACACAGGAAGGCTGGGAGTGATCGTAATGACAGAGGAAAGGCACCCGCTGCCAGATCAGCACCCCGCTTTCCACTCTAATTTCCATTGCACCAACTCAACCTCGTTAGTTTGGGCTCTGCATAAGCTGAGCACCCCATCAGATCCGGCTACAGCATTCTGCCTCATCACACACCAGTGTTTGTAGCATTTATTCATCCCCAGCGTCGAGGGAGAGCGACAGCAGGGCTCAGGAGCTACAGACATTGCTGTGGCAGCTGTTTGGCCAGTCCCCAGCACGGGCTGGATGAGGACTGAATTTGACGCAGCTGCAGTCAGGGCTCCTGCAGTGGTTCTGACCCAAAGGACATTTCCCTGCTCCTGCGAGTGACAAAAACAGGGACCCAGAGCACAGGAGGGGACAGACCTGTCCCCTTTGAAGATGTCCCCTTGTCCCAGCTCCCCCCACAGCCTGGGACGGTGGTTTTTGGTGGCTGTGTTCCGCTGGCTCCGTAAGCCACCGCTCACCAGCTGCGCCAAGGGAACTCGAGCCCCTTCTCTGCTAACCTGCCGCAGCCGCAAAGTAAAACGCGTCAGCTCAGCCCATCTTCCAGCAGCGCAGACCAGCGTGAGCCACCTGCTCACACCAGTACGGACTGGGAAAAGGGGCTGGCGAGTGCAACCTCCCCCATCTACGCTGGAAACCCCTCTTCGAAGCACCTGTGAATGGGAAGCTGCTTGAACAGCAGCCCGTAAGTGCGCACCAAAGCACTCTGGAGGAGCCACAAGCGCAGCCGGTGCAGAATGAGCATGCCACATAGGATGTGCCGAAGGGGACGGTGCTCTCCCGCTGTTGTCACCCGCAGGAGGTGGCCCTGAAGGGAGCAGAGGTGGAAGGGAAGACCCAAGCCCCTACCTTGTCCTCCAGCCGGTCCATCAGAGCCGGGGAGACGTACCCGACTTTGGCCATCAGTGTCACCACACTTCGGGTGCCCTCCAGCTCCGTCCAACGCAGCTCCAGCTTCTTGATGACTTCGTTGAGCAGTTTGCTCTCCTTCCGCTGCCTCACCGCCAAGAACTCGGCCAGGGAGGCCAGCTGCCCGAAGGAGAGGCGCCGCAGCCGCCACAGCACCTCCTGCTTCACCGACTGCATCTCCCTCCTGTTCATGTCCACCCCCAGGGAGTAGAGGCTCTTCAGGAGGTTCACCAAGGTGTTATTCCACACCTGAGGTATCTGGGCAGCAGAGAAAAATAAGGAAAAGGCGGTGATGAGAGAGAGCACAAGAGGATTCCGTTGCCTGTCACGCCAAACACCCAGCAATGTGCTCTCTCGCTACAGAAAGAGCATTGAGGGGGAGGCAAGAGTGTCCTCATGCCTGAGGACATCCCGCTGTCCCCCACCATAACGTGAGACCTCTGCTCCTCCTCACCGGTGTGACCTGCACCACCAGATATGGACTTGAGTGACGCAGTGCCCTGGTTGAGGAAGAGGACGCTCAATGTCTGTACCAGAAGCCGAAGCCACGCATCGATCCCGGCAACACAGATGAGCCTTGACGTAGCTACACGTCACATATAGAGCTGCCGTATAGCGGTGAACTCCCTCTGCGTCAGAGAAGGAAGTTCAGCAGCAGGTTTGCTACCAGCTGGGTGGGATATTTAACTAGACTTCACCCCTCCCTGGAGGCACCTAAGCTTCCTTGTAGTGTGGCTTGTAAAACGAAGAGCGCAGGGAGACTGATAATTCAGGGGTTTTGAGGGGAATGCCACGGGACTCTGCCTCAGCTCCTCAGGTCAGGTGAAATTTATCCTAAAAGCTCTGGTTTCTCTCCAGTGGCTCTGAAAGGAGGCTAGGCACGAATCCCACCGGCTGCCAAGAGCATCAGGACTTGCCCAGTCCCACACTCTGCCCACTGAACTTCTCTGCCTGGCCGCTGCGTTCCCACCGGCAGCCCCCCCGCCAGGCACAGCTCATGGTTTTCCACCAGCAGCTCGCGGTTTTCCACCAGCAGCTCGCGGTTTTCCAGCTTTTATCTCCTTCAGCGTCCACCAGGGAATGCCCTGCACCTCTTTATTTCCAGCTCAAGCTTCCCCAGCTGCGCTCTGCGATTACAGTCTGAAAGCTCTCCTGATTTCTCTAAAACCAAACCAGAACTTTAGCACCACGTCAGTTCTGACGGGCCCGTCAGAAAGTGTTGCTGTGCCAGCCGCCATGTACAGAGCACAGGACATCACAACGTTACAAAATTATTTCAGAAACGATGAGCTGCTTCTCAGAGCGATCACGGAGGATGAAAGTGAGGCAGTGCCATGAGATGTTGATTTTTGGGCAGGAAGGACCATGAAGATTTGGACAAACAAAGGCTTTAACTCTCTGGCCTAGCCAAACTCCAGCACTTCCACTGGGACGGCAAATTCCCTGGGTGCTGCTCAGGCACAGATCAGGACCTCAGGCACAAGAACAACCCGAGCACTGCCAGGGTGCTCTGCTAAAATCGGAGAAATCCCAGCTCGGGATGCAGCTGGGAAAAGGAGCAGAGCTCAGGACTTGCCCCGGGTTACTCAGAAGGTCACAAGCAGAACCAGATCCCTCCCTTTCCCTCAACGCTGTCCCAGCCCACACCTCATCTACCATTCAAAATCTCTGGCTCGTTGACACAAGGACGCTGCAAGCTGACTAATTTTAGTTTCTTCGCATCAGAACGTCTTTGCATCTACACAACAACCTCTTACGTTCAGTTATCTACAACTGCGGCTGCAATAAGAGCTCGTTGGAGAAGGATAATCGTGTTTGCAGCCTGCTTTGCATCTCAAAATCCCTCGCCACATCCCTCTTGGCAGTTTCCTACACCCAGGCCACGCTGCCTCGCTTTTCATGGTGCCCATCCAGCACGACAGCTTGGCTCTGCCAGCTCTGGGGGATCCCTTCCCCACGGAGAGGTCCCCAGGGACACGGGCACCCTTTTGATCCACGGTTACAGCGGCACAGGACGATGTAGATCAGCTCGAGCAGTACTTTCACTCCAAATACAGCTGCGTGGAAGCATTTCGGCTCAACGGAGCTAAATGGGTGACCTCAGGGGAAATCCCACCTCTCTGCTATCCTTGGAGAGGATTTAGGGAGCAGAAATCATGGATCAAGAGACCTACAAGGTGTCTGCAGAACCCTTGTACCCCCAAAGACCTGCCAGGAACCTCACGGAGTTCAGCAAGTTCACAGGCTGGGGCAATCCCCAGCACCAGCACAGACTGGGGGATGGATCTGGAACAGCCTGGCCGAGACCTGGGGATATCCTACTGAGAAAGCTGAAAATCCACAGGGATGGGAGCAAGGCAGCGTTTAATGAGGATGACCTCCCTGCTACATTTTGTCTCTGGTCCAAAAAGCAGCGCTTTTAGACGGAAATAATCAGGCATCCCGCCTAGAGCTGGTAATTTCACCTTTTCAACTTCATTTTTTAATTGGAAAGGCAAAGTAAAACCCTGAACAAGCAGCCAGCTCCAGCCGGCCTCACCAGTTCAATCCCAGGAGCACTGGCCACTTCCCACCTCGTACTCTTTCCCCAAACTCTTCCGTGGCAAGGAGGGAACTTACCTGGGAATCCATGATGCTGATGAGCTGCTGGAAACGTTCATCTTGCAGAATGCTCTGTGTTTCCAGTTTTTTTTCTGCTGCAAGCCGGGAAAGTTGAGTAATTATTAGCGAGGCTTGGTTGCTATTTAGAGCATGGAGTTCGCTCAACTGGAGGAGTTCCTGAGGACCCGTGGCTGTTTCAATCAGTTCCCTGATCATTCTGTGCTCTGGATTTCTGCTGTCTTCCACCTGCTCTTTCACCGAGAATCCATCAGCCCAACCGGAAGGGATCGAAGTGTGAAATGAAGCAAAAGGTGCTTGAGGCAGAGCTCTCGCCATCGTCACCTTCCCCGCTGGCACCAGCAGAGACGCTGGGATCGCCGAGGGAGCAGAGGCGAAGGCACCGAAGTGCCGCCAGCAGCAGCGCTGCACCAAGCGGGCTGCCATGGTGGAAGGAAGGCCGGGGGCAGTAATCGGCGGGGGGTCAGCGCCGCATTTCAGGAACACTACGAAAGGAAAAGAAACTCTTTAGGAGCAGAATTTCAGAGATAAAATGGAGGCAGCCCACCAAAAGCTTTCTGGTGATCGATCGGCAAAACACAACCAGGGAAGAGGCTGTGCACTGGGGGTAACCTGCCTCCAGCCCCCCCAGGGGCTGCCGAACTCCGGCACGGCTTCCCAAGGCAGCACAGAGCCACTCCCGGGTGCTGACAGCGGGCCTGGAGCACACCCACTTTCTCACCAGCCCCAACCGGGCCTCGCCCAAACCTCCAGAGCCACAGCCCCACTTTCCCAGTTGCTCCCAGTTTCCCCACACCACCCTCCCCAGGGGTCTCCCTCCTCCCCAGCCCC